AAGAGTGTTAAAACATATGCTAAGAAGTCTTAAAACAGAATTTGAGGACTAACCTGACCAAGAACTGATGTAAAAGTTCTGTGATGTTTTTGTCTTCTCTGCCTGCAGATAAAGATCTGCAGTTTCACATTGTGAAGCAAGCTAGAGCTCAAAGTGCAAAAGAAGGTACCGGCTACAGTGAAGGTAAGTAGCAAGCAGGTACCGAGACAATTTTACCAGCTTTTTTATGAGAGGTGCTCTTGTCTCCTCCTTTGCAGCTTCCTTCAACCTACTTGTGAACTGCTGTGAGGAATTTTTAAAATTTATTTTTAATATTCCTTCCCTTGTGTATTTTGGAGCACAACTACTTTCTCTACTTGGGGCAACTAGACAGGAGAATTTGAGTCTGTTGTGCTCACACCTCTAGTACTGTTCAGGACTGGAAAATCAGCACTGCAAAATTCAGGAGTTTCCTGAAGCACTAGTTCTTCACTTCCCATCCCACTACCTACACTTTATTTTCTGCCTGTGTTTTCTGGTGTTATCCTTCTGCTCTTTGTGGCCCAAACTCTTCTAATGCTGCCTCCAGCCTTGTTCTTCATGTAGTGTTTTGTTAAGGATTGACTGCTAGATATGAGCTGTATGAGCTTGTCCACCATGCCTCAGATAAAAAACCAGACAACATGTGTATTATTGTGTTGGATTGTTTCCAGACCGACCTAAGAAGCTGTATAAGAAACACACTGATGGATCTGCAAATAGGATGTTTTCCCTTACATCTGCTCTCAGCTCATTAGTTCCTTTATGTTTCATTTTTCAGTGGGTTTTGTTAGTGGGGACCAGGTTAAGACTAAGCAATGCTTCTCTTGGAGAGTTCAGACCAAGACCAAGTAGAAAAGTAGGGCTACCTATTGAAACCACTGTAGAGCTGCAGCATATGGTTTAGAAATTACTGCAGCACCTGAAAGATGCAGCATTTACTGTCTGTGGTCCTTTAGTTTGGAAGTGCATTTGTCTGCTTTCCTGACAGTCAAAACCAGCAGCACTTGCTCAGGTGTAGATTTTCGTGTTGTCTTTGTTTCCCTGGCATAGGAAATGAAGCCTTAGCTGTCAGTTGCTTGGGAAGTGGCTTTATTGTGATGGGCACCGTGTTTGGAGCACCTCAGGTGTGTTTTCATTGGAGGGAAGTGGTAACTCATTAATTTGATACAATCACATCCAAGCAGTGAAGAAATAGATAAAGCCTTTATCGACTGGTGCATTGCAAAGATTCATCAGGGAGCCACTAGATGCCAGTGTTTGCTGTCTAGTTCTTGCTGCAAGCTATCATTTCTCTGAGTATAACACTAAAACAGTGTGGGATGGTTTTCATTGTGGTGTCTTGGCCTGTTGTAAAATTTACTTGTAATTCTTTGTTTAATTTAAAGTTTTTGGCAACAGAAACAACTGGACAACAATTTGTTGTAAATTTCCTTTTGACTGTGTCGAAGTAATTTTCTTTCTTTGTTTTAAAAAAATATTCTAACCATATTTAGAATCTTAGAATAGCTGTGTAATAGGACAGGAACGCTGGTCTTAATCACAAGCTGGGAAATTCTTGTAAGTCCACAAACACATAACTATTAGGCACTTTTATGGGCTTTTGTGACCCTGCAAGAACAGTGTGTTTTAAAAATCAAATTCTACTGTTCATGTTTAAATCTGTTAGTTTGGATTAGAAAAGTTCTGGTTTAGGCTCCAAGTACAGTGATGAGGAAATCTTGTGTTTTTACTTGCTGTTGTAGAGTTGTAGTGGCTCCCCTTCCTCTTTGGTGTCTGTAGTGAAAGCAGGATGTGAAAGATTGCCCAGCTTCCGCTAAGTGCTGCATGATTTAGAGAAGCAGTAGCTGTGCTGTTGTGAGGACTGCTGCAAACACCCTGTCTTATGTTTTGGCTCTTCTGTCTGCCTGGAGACGTACGTCTGGGTGGGGTTGTGTCTCAGGGGGAGAAGGTTGGGTTGCGGGATTATGGAGTGGCTGCTGGGAATTTGAATGTTCTCAAGTAAAATGCGTTTCTGCAGGCAGTGCCCTAGCATACTGCATCCTGCACCTTTAGGGGAATCACTTTGCTGCTGTTGCAATGGATTGAGAATGGACTTATTGTTTGTCTGGAGTTTTAACTGAGGAATGGGAAAGATTGGGTACGGGGCTGGTCATTCAGGGAAAGAAGAGTGTGCAAGCAGTGTGTTTGCTGCCGTAACTTCAGAGTTAGTTTTCTGATCTGGAGCATCTTGGAAGTGCCTTTGTAGCCCTTTTGGCTATAAATGCCTGTGGCAGCCTATTACAAAAGCTCTGTAGAGACAGTGACAGTATGAGGCTGATTTGCACAGTGCCCAGTTACCTCATCTTGTAGAAGCTTTCACTCTTGTTGGCAGAACAACAGGTATTTTGCAGCTACTACTTTAAGGCAAACCCGCAAGTGAGAGCTGTAGCCTCTTCTCTCTTGCTGTAGCTTGTAAGCCAAGAGCTGAAATTGATGGGAGAATACAGAGTGTCCTTTTGATCTAATCTAGTACCTTCCCTTCAAAGCATATGAAAACCTGTAACTAAGTGTGAGCAATCAGGAGGGGTTACACAACCTGCGTGGAGCTGGGGAGGAATTTGGTCCCTTATTTTTTTCTTTTTCATTCAGCAATTTTTATCCTTTCAAATTAAGAAGGATGAAACTTCTTACAGATAAGTAAAGATGAAAACAGTATGGGTGTTTACTGCACTGTTTGTTGAGCTTCTCTGTGTTTTCCTATGTGATCATGCTGTTTTACTAATGACAGCTGTCTGTTCAACCTCCAGGATCTTACTCATTACTGCCCATAGAAGTTCCTCAAAATCACAAGCGTTTCACCTGTGACCTGACTCAAGCTGACCGCCTTGCTCTTTACGATTATGTTGTTGAGGAGACAAAGAAACAGAGATCTAGATCCCAAATCACGGAAAACGACAGTGACCTCTTTGTGGATTTAGCAGCGAAAATCACCCAAGGTTTGAAGAACCATCTGTTGGATTTATGGCTGAGAACTTTCACTTTGTGCAGTTAGATGAGTTTGTTGAAAGCCAAACAGAATGGCTCTGTGCTTAAAAGCTACAACAAAGGTCTGGCATCAGCAAACACTAGTGTGCTCTCCTTTATGTTGTTTTTCTTCTGAGAAAGCCTTGGTGCTCTGCTCTTGCCACACATTGTGTGTATCTTAGTGGATGGATCTTTTGTTTTTGCTGCAACTGACTTCAGGTTGCTTAATGCTGCCAATTTACTGTGCAGCTTGGAACAGTATTTGCTGTAAGGGATGATGAGATTAAAGATCACTTAAAAGTCAAAGCTGAACAAGAAAGGCTGGCATTCATCTGATGGAGCTCTTGAGCAATACACAAATGGGTGTATTGGACTGAGGCCTCTCATCCCTGTTGTGTCATGCCAGTTGCTAGCTACATCAAGTGCAGCATGAGCATCTGTGTTGTCCTGTGGGCCCTGCTGTCCCTAGGAGGTAGGAGACAGTGTTTGTCCTGTATGCCAGTGAATGTTTTAAAGAATCTGGCTTTCTCAGTCTTTGTGTCTTATTGTAATCCTGGCTTTGAAATCATGGCCTGTGTTTTGTAGATGTTTGACCAAATTGCAAGCCCGTATGTTGATTTGGATCACTGTCAGGAGACTTGCGATCTTGGGTTAACAGCTAGCAAGAAGGCTGGAGAGGAAGCTTGTGCTGAATTCATAATTGTTACTAAACACTGGAGAAACTTCAGAAGGAACACCATGTATTTTATGTTTCAGGCTTTTATTACTAAAGCACCAGACTTGCATACCTGCAGGTGCTAATGACCATCTGTTTTAATTCAATTTTTTGCTAGATGATAGTCAGAAAGGTCCGAAGTCCCATCTTGAAATTCTGGCTGAAATGCGAGACTACAAAAGGCGGCGGCAGTCATACAGGGCTAAGAACGTTCACATAACAAAGAAGTCTTACACTGAGGTGAGTATCTGAAAAGAGAGTTTTTTGCATAAAAGTGTCATAAACAATGATAGACTCTTTCAGACAAAGAAAATGTCTCTCTTTTTCTGCTGCTTGTACCTTGCTTTATTAGAGTTGTGAACTGTAGAGGAATCTGGCTTTTGTTACAAGAAGTTACAAGTAAAGGAGCATTTCTGAGTGTTAAATTTTGAATGTGAAAATGCCAGCAGGATATAGTTGATTGCCTATTGTAAAATGGTGCTATTAAAACTTATTATGAAATATCTGTTTCTCCAAATAAGACTTTGAATTGTACATTCAAACATCTGATGTATAAGGTTTTGGGGGCATTTTTTGGGGGAGAGATGTTTACCTTCTGCTGTCTAGTTGCCAGTTCAGGCCACTACCATGACATGCTGCTTTTCTTGTTAGGACATAGTTTAGTGGGCATGGTGGTGTTGGGTTGACAGTTGGCTTGTTGATCTTGGAGGTCTTTTCCAACCTTAATGATTCTGGTTTGTTCTATTGTATTCTTGTTTGTTTTTAATACATCTTAATCTCCAGGTGATTCGGGATGTGATTGGTGTGCATATGGAAGAACTCAGCAATCACTGGCAGGAGGAGAACAGGTTGGATAATGCAGAGATGTGTGAAGGAGGGAAGTCGAAGTCTTCAGGAAGGTATGCTACAGCTGACAAATTCCTTGGGCATGTGAGCAGGCTGATAGCCTGTAATTGTCCCTTACCACTTCCTTCTACCAGCACATACCAACCTTCGCTGAGACATAGGCACAGTTTATTTTATACTAATTCTATTAAGCTCTTGCTTGAGAAGCTTTGTCTGCATAAAGGATGGGGAAAAATGAGTTATAATCTTTCTTTTTGGAGTAAGGAGTTAAGTTGCAGGTGATCCAAATGAACAGGTCCTTTCTGGTAGAGCCAGGGAATAAATATTGCTCCCCTGGGTCCAAATGCATATATATGTGATAGCTGGGGACAGAAACACAGTTGAAATTACAAGTACATGATTTTTTTCCTCCCTTCCCTACCACATGACAGGAAATGCTGTGGTAGATACATCATAAAGTACTTTAGAGAAGTTGTTTTCATAACTTACTGAACGTGGACTCTTTACACTTCTTATCACCCTGAATGCTGCTGCCTTAAGTGGGAGTGTGGTTTTTATATACCTATTTCTTCCTGTGTCAAGCAACACTGCACACTCTTCCAGACATTTGTTGCTGAAATAAAAATGGAATCATGACCTAGTGATAGTGTATTTGTGCTCCTTCAGGAATTCTTCGAGATGAAAATATTGTTGAAACAACCTAAAAGGTGACACTTGAGGTGTTTGTTTTCAGCATTAAAGTAAAGGTGAATGAAAAGGCCTAACAGGAGATTAGGCTTGCTGGGTTCTCCAGCAGTAGGTAGCAGCTGAAGGTGGGTGGTTGAAAAGTTAGGGATTGAAAGCAAAACAGAGGTGGTAAGACTGAGGGGCAGTGTTTTTAAGAAATAACTAGATTAAATAGTGTGCTGAGATGTGCACATATAAGAGCATGGACTTTGGGCCTCTTTTGGGAGGTATTGTATTTCGTAGGGAGATAGGCTTAGTAAAAGATACATCCTCTTACACCATTAGTAGATCATTGTATTACAAAACTGGTACTGAAAACAATAGTGACTGTGAAACTGTTTCTATGGAACAAAACCAATAACTTTTTTTTCAGAAGGGAAGACAGGCGGTCAGCCTCAGTGGACTCGCGGCAGTCTGGAGGAAGCTGTAAGGACACTGAACGCACCAGACACAGGAGAGAGAGCAGCAGGAGTCCAAACAAACGAAAAAGGAGTCGCGAAAGAGGCAAAGACAGAGATTCTCGGAGAAAAAGAGAGAGGTGAGCACAAATAGTGTCAGCTGCTGCTGACATCCTGCTTCTGAATCAGGCAGCCATAGCCGTTGTCTGTGAGAACTCAGCACAGAGAGTTACAGTATCTAGTCCAGTTAAAAAGCTGGACTAATCTCATATACAGCGTAACAGGCCAGTGGTGTGAGACTACTGATACTGAACAGAACTCGCTGTGAGATCATAAGCTGTGATCCAGACTTCAGAACTTACTCTCACATCTGACAGGTGACACTTGCAGCAACACGTACAGGATTAACGTGATACTGTCGCAGGCTATTGTACTCCTTCATCAACAGATGCATGGGGAGATACTGTCCATTTAACCCATTAAGTGTGCTCCTCATGTCTAATGCTGACTTCTGCTCTAATTTGCACTGGGACTTAATAAATAGGATTATTTGTTTCACTAATATGTATATACATACAGTCACTTGACTAGCTTTTCCATGGTAGATGTTTCAAAACAATGTTGCTCTCCAGTAGTCCTAGACAGATTTTTGGGCAAAAGAAAACAAATCTAGGCCACAGCTTCTAGTACTGTTGAGGGCACATTTGCATCTGCAAGACCATAGGCATTTGCGCAAAGACAGGCTGTTGTGCAGAAGAAATGCTGCTTAGTGTGTACAGAAGAAATTCTGTAGATAACTGCATAGATGGGAATGCTTGCTGGTCTCAAAACTGGCTTCATTACACAGTGATGCCATTCATCGCAAACTAATTGCCGCTATGGCATTGCATGACAAGACTTTCATTAAAACAGCATAGGAAATAAACCATCTTAAAGGAGTTTACTTTCATGATTACATTTAATGAGAGCTTTCAGTTTTCCAAGTCTCTCTTTTTTACCTTCAGATTCTGTCAGTCTGCACCTAACAGCCCACACAATGTTTGTGTTTTTGTTTCAGGGATGAAGACAAATACCACAGCCATAAAAGAAGAAAGTAGAAACAAGAACCTGAATATTTTGTTTGTCAGCTGTTCAAAAAATTACTTGCACAGGAACTATCATTACTGCTGTTGTGCCAGGGACAGTAATGCTGTGTACCTAATACTGGTGTTGCATCACAGCTGCGCTCGGAGACAGAAGTGACACAGTGTTAAGGTTTGTCAGGATGGAAGCAGTGTATATCATAAAAAGTGTACATGTGTAACATTAATGCATCTATTAATAAATTATATCTTTCATTTATAAGTTTAGTCTGACATGGCTGAAGAATTAAATCCATGAGAGGCTGTACTGATGTGTGTTCCTGGCCCATAGCTAGGGCATATAGAACAGAGCTAATCCTTGGAGTCTAGATCAGTTACAAGTGAAAAGACATTGTCATTGCTGGGGGCATTGTTCCAGAAAGACAGTGCTGCTTGTTTAGTTACAGCATGTACCAGAGGTGAGAGGGCAGATTTTTAGGCTAAGATATCTTCAGCTGCAGCTAGTGGTAAAAGGACAATAATGGGAAAGTTACTGTTCCCAAGCTTGGGCCTAAATTCCTTTGTGTATAATGTCATCTGGCAAAGATGGTGAGACTATAGCTCTCCACAGAAACTAGGGAGGGAGTACCAAGGACAGCTGTAATACAGCATGGCCAGTCATCATCAGCCAAGCTTGTTACTTCAATGAAGTAAGGAACTATGAAATAAGCAGCTTGCAGATCCATCTTTCCCACTCTACTTTCCTCTGTTTGATCAAGTTGCCAGAGAGGGCACTCCATATGCTCCTGGTTTTGGCCTTCTCCGTCACTGGAATCTCCAGTTTTACTGTAGCCACCAGCAGCCTGTCTCTTCCCTCAGTCATTTCTGTAATTAAGTGTGATTATCTGTCACTAAATACTTAGCCTAGTTCTGATTGATTTAGACTTCTCTACCTACTGCAGCTATTAAACTCAAAACCAAACTGAACTATGTGTCAGGCATCTCACCTACATGACAAATACAGTGGCTCTTCCTGTCAGAAAACAAGGCATTTTAAAACAGATCCTTAATTAGAAAAGTCCACTTAAGAATGGAAAAGGATATTTAAGTTCTGAAAGGTTCCTAATTAGAGGGAGAACAACTGTAATCATTGCCATCCTTTCTCCAGTTGCTTCTTTGACGAGCTCAGCCACAGGATTTGTCATGTTGAATAAGGCCTGGTAAAAGTATTCATTTAATAGAGCTTGTTCATGCAGACAAGGTAGTCAAAGGTCAAGCTGCATTTGTGTAAGAGTCAAAAATGTCAGTGCTATCCAGAAGCATAACAAGAAACACACCAATTATAGCTGTCTAACCTTCTCTAAACTAAATTTTGTGTTTTGCTTATTTTCTCCCAATCACTTATGAAATATCCATAACAAAATACATTTTACTCAATATAAACAAATAAGTGAAAGTATCACTCTCTAGGTGGGAGCATCAGTATCTGTGAGGCAGGAGAACACTATAACCGTGTCTTCAAGTAACATCCACTGAAGGGCCATTTCAAGAGTGGGGTAAAGAAAAGGACGTGCCAGAGGAGGGGATCATCTTTGCCTTGTCACGTGCAAATAACAGTCCTTTGAACACAAGTTATTTTAAATTTTTCTTTCATATATTTATTCATTTTTTTCTGCTCTCACCTGGTGCTGAAAAGTAGGCTTGATCAAAACAGTGTTGAGGGCTGGCTCAGAAAGTTTCTGAGCAGCACCATGCCATTTTGTTGGTCACTGAAAAGGAATAAACCCAATGTGTTAGAACAACACTTTAATATGGTGAATCCTAGTGTGTTGGGCAAGATACAATTGAGGGTGGTATTAATAGCAAGCAAGAGCGCTATTATTAACAAATAGTTCTTATTAAAAATTGTCCAGCTGGTAACTAATGGCAAAAAAACCCAGTTCACTTGTGTACTCGTGCATTTTTGAGCTCCCATGTACATGGTAGCAATCTAAGACAGAAAGACCAATTCCAGCTAGATGGTAGGAAGAGTCTGTATCTGTCTGACTCGTGTAGGCAGCAGGTGAAGGACAAGTCTCTTGCAGATCTTAAAAATAAAGTGCATTTTGTGTGACCTACGTGAGACTATGGATGAAATGAGTGGGAGTTTATCACTAAGAGCTGGATTGAAGACACTGTGATTTTCATACATTCCTAATGCTTATTCTGTGCTAGTTTCAGCAGAAATATATGCAGTAATTTGATGGATCCTTTCCTCCACCTGCCTACAAGTTATGAGGTCCTGACACTGAATTGTGCGGGCACAAATCTTCACCTAACCAATCCAAGTGTGTTAGAGGTGAGGTTGTCACCTGTAGCAGTTAGCATGAGTTAGGCCTTGTTAGCAGAGCTGTTAGCAGAAGCCTGTGAATTTCAAGTATTTGCTGTTGTAAAAGTTGACAAAAATGTGATCAGCCCTCTGTCTAAAGCAACAGAAGAGTGCTGGTGTAATCAAGAACAAAAGGTACCCAAACTATGCAAATACCCTGTTGTTATCATCATGAAGTGCTGATGCCCAGAAGCATCCAGAGCAAACACGCTGTGAGCACCCACGATGGTCCCAGCACATCAGGAAATGGCAGTGCAGTTTGAATGGACCAATCATCAACAGGGTATTCTCTACCCAACCCTGTAAGAAGATGACCTAATAATATTGGGGGTAATAAAAAAACCCCAGACCAAAACAAAAAGCCGTGGGTTAAAGGATAGGGGAACCTCCTGGACCTACATCGGCATTTGGGACCATCTTGCCAACTCCCAGAGCACCTAGGGGACCTCCAAATCCTGCACCAGGACGGCTGGTACTGCTATGCTGACCTGCTGGGCTTTTGCCTTGAACTGCACCCTTTAAGTCCTTTCAGAAAAGGGAAGTCATGTAATCCATAATCTTGCATATCTCTGTGACCGAAGTGTTTTGCTATCCAAATCCACACAGCCTCATCAAACACTGACAGCACACAGGTCACCTGAGATCCTGCAAGTCCTCAGAAACCATACAAATACAGAGATTTAGAACGCCATATCCCACAGTACGTACAAATATACATACATATACGCACCCATATA